AGGATCCGGCCGGGGTGGGGGGAGCGGTGGTCGGGATGCTCAACCCCAAGCCTCACCCCTGGCCTTGCACCCCAAACCCTGCTTCGTGCACAGGGTGGGGTGAAGGGAAGAATTGGGGACAGCATTTGTTTTGCCTGGAAAAATGTCATTTTGACACCGGTAGCAGGCAGAGATCAGCCAGAGCCTCAGGCTCCTTCCTCCGTTGCACTGAACGCAGAATGAGCACGACATGGGGGGGGGGGCAGGCGCCTTCCGCTCCCCAGCTTTCCCCGGGGCACTCCCATATCTTCAGGGTGGCACTCCCAGGGAGAGCCCAGCGCTTTGCACACCAAAAAGAAATGTGGTCAGGAGCCAGCTCCTTCCCTGGGGAAAATCATAGCAAAGAGAAGGCCAAGCAATGCACATTTTAAGACGAAATGCTCCGAGAATCTCTAGACAAATATAAAAATATAAAAATATTAATACATAAATATGTAAAAATGTAAATATATAGAAATATACAAATATACAAATATTAAAATGTGCGACGTTATAGTAATGATGCTACATGGCAGCATACAATTAAAGGCCAAAATTGCCATCTCCCAGCTAAGACTCGGGTTGTGAAGCGTTGCCCCCACGGGTGGAGCAGATGGGAAGGGGACATCCCCAGCCCTGCCGTAGCCCTGAACCGGGAGCCACGCGTTGCGCAAGCCCGGGCTCTTCCTGGCAGCCTCTGTCTCCTCCAAGGGCCCGGCTTCGCAGGGCGTTGTCGCAGGAGATGAGGAAGGAGGTGGGAGAGGGAAGTGCTGATGAGCAGCCCTCGCAGGTCGCCTGTTCCTGGCTCTGAGCAATACTGAGACCCAGGGGCAGGATCCTGTCCCACCGCGCGGCTGGCACATCTTTCCCAGGGCTCCTCCAAGCTGTGGCCGTCCTCCGTTTCCACTCATACAAACGAATAGAGGCAGTATTAGTTTACTTTATTTATTTTCTATAGCTATATCTCTATAATCTGTTGAGTATACATCTGTTTTTTACGTATCACAATGCTAAATGAGCATTTTGCCTCTCCCGCTCTGGTATTTCAGTTTTATGCTGGTATATTATTGGTTTTCAGAGGCTGTATTACGCGGAGGGAGGCTTGAAGTTAAAAGCAGACGTGAGAATAAAGCAACCAAAAAAAAACAAAAATAAAAAATCGAAGGGGCTTTCGAGGAGCAGAGTGCCCTGGATGAGCTTTGGGTCACCCAGGGAGCGCCCATAGCAGACGGTTTATAATATTGCTGCGGTCCCTGGCTTGTGTCTGGGTTGTATCACCCACGTTCGGGCAGGCAGTGAGGTTAGACCTCGGCACCGCAGCTGAGACTCCTGCCTGCATCTGCCTACATCTGCCTACGTACCTCCATCGCGCTGGTGCGGCGGTCGCCGGCCTGAGCCGGCAAAGCACCATCCTGCCCAAAAAAGGAAGGGTTTTCGCCCAAAAAGGGGACAAAGCTCAGCTCCCCGCAATCCCCCTTTTCCCCTGTGGCAGCCTCAGGTGCCTAAACACGCCGGCAGAGCTCGCCACGCGCCCGTGGGCAGCGCGGGGGGGGAAGTGGTCCTGTATCCCAATAGCATCTCCCAGGATCATTCTTTTATAAATGGGGCTTTTCATGGCAAGAAAGTAATGAATGAGTTTTGAGCATGCCCATAAATGCAATCTTTCGAGACGTCATCTGCAGGGTACATTTATTTTAGGTGCCCTCCGCCCTTCCCTCCTCCCCCCGCCCCGGTTTATTTTAACAATGCTGTGCTTTTCTATTATAAAATGGGATTTTTCTGTTTAACTCCATGTAGTCTGTTCAGCATTTGCATGTCTGTGTGCATGCACTGGTGACATTTGTCACCATCAGATGCTATTTTTAGGCCTGTTATTCCTGAGGACCCCACCCTTGGCTTGGGAAGGGGAAGGGGGGAGCGCAGGAGGAGGGAGAGAAGGGAGGGGGAGGAAGGAAAACATCAGCCTCAGCACACTTCCAGCCTGTGGCCATCAACCTCCCCGGGGGCATGGGAACCATAAGGTCATTTCTCAGGCTGGCTGAGCTCCCGAGCTGTCAAACCACCCTGCGAGTTAAAAAAATGCAAATGTATGCAAATGAATGGGCTGCTTCTCTTCCTCCCCCCCCCCATTTAAATGACATGAATCACCTTCAATTTTGCCAGCATCCTGTAAAGTTATCGGCTTGCCTAAGTGCTTCGGTTAACAGAACCGCATCTCGAGAGGACCAGGAGGGGAAAAGGAGTCCACTCCCACCGAAGGGAGCTGTACATCATTTTAGTTTATAATCACATACCCCCTGATCTTCTAATTCCATTTTTTCTTGCTTTCTTGCTTATCCTCCACAAATTAGGGAGGATAGAGTTTAGCGTCGGGGAAAAAACCTCTATAAAAACAATTGTCAGGGTAGTCTAATATTCTGCTTTTCTCATCTTTTGCCCTTAGGGTGATCTGGCAATGAAAGATCAAAATAGATTTGTAGGAAGACACGTTCCTTCACGTAAGGAGCTCCTTTAACACTAATGCTCCTTCCAAACAAAAATAAATGAGTAGAAGATAAATAACAGCAATAGAAATTTAATTGCTCATGCTTATTATTAAGGATCCAAAGCCCTAAAAAGGAAGTTGTCTTTTCCTCCCCGGCTCAGGGGTTATTTATTATCTTGCACTCCACTTGAATAACACATTGGATTTACTTTCATTTGTCGTCGATTTTCAAGGAAGATTTGATGCGGAGCCGGTCGGGCTGGTAGAGGAGCGTAGCTAGTTAACATGGTTAAGCACAGCACACTGTAATGAATCAATTTGTTTCAGACAACAGACATAATTAGCGTGGAGCTAATGGGCACACCAGGGGATGGGGGACTGGAGCATCCTCCCTCAGCCGAAAATGTCGGTGGCTGGAGCTGAGGGGGGCTCGGAGGGGTGTAATTCCCGGTTCCTCTCTCCATCTCTGGGCACGGGGAGGTGGCTGGAGAGGGCTTCCCATGGTGGGGGCTGCCCTCCAGCCCTCCCACCCCCCGCGAGGCCTCACTAGCTCGGGGACAGCTTGTCCCCCATCCCGGCGTTGCTCCCACCAGGCTGGTGACCCGTAACCCTCTCTCCGGGGTGTGCTCCGTCTAGGTCGCACCGTCTTCCCAAGGCCTTCGCTCGCCGGCTCCCACACGGCGAGTGTTCGGCAGCGCTGATTAGGTGTGGGGGAGATAGCTGCAAGGTCTCGGCTGGAGATTGACCCTACGGAGGGAGGAGAAGGGAGATGGCGTTGCTCTTCCCACGGGAATGTTTGCTGCCGAGTCTGATCCCCTCTACAGCTCCCCAGCCTCCCCCAAGGGTCACGGGCTTGCCGACCAAGGTGAAGCAAGGGTTTCCCTGGACTACCTCCATCAGACCAGGCTCTTTCCAGCCCTGAGGGCTGGAGGCAGGTGGTAGGGTGGGAGCCAGCCCCACACCATGGGGTAGACCAGGTCCCCATAGCTGGTGGGAAGGAGGTTTGGAGTCAGAGTGGCCAGAAACCGAGCAGGGAAGGACACCCAGGACGTGGCGATGGATCCCAGGAGAGATGCAGAGAGGGCACGGGGTGGGATTGGGAACCTGCCAGAGATGCAGAGGGTGGGATTGGGAACCTGCCTGGTGGTCTCAGCCTTGTGAAAGGGGCCGGAGTGGGGCTGTAGTTTTACTTACGTCTACCCTGGGCTCTCTCGGAGATTAACCGCTCGGCTGTGAACTGTCTACCTGCAGCGGGGCCACGAGGCAGGGCTCGTAGAGTTGATACTGCATGAACACATGCTCTGTGTCCTGGGGGTTTCCAAAGAGTTAGTGTATTCAAAGTTATTCCGGCTGTTTGATGTATTCTGTGTGTGATGGGATTAATGTATTCGTCACCTGCTGGAGGAAGTCGCTCTCCTTTCCTGGGATTTCTCATGTGGAAGGGCTGCTGGAGCCATGTGAAAGAGGAAACATCTTACAGATTAAAAAATGGCAAAAAAATCAGGTTTTCCTTTTGGGTGTGGGCTTTTTGCTTCCAAATTTCCCTTTGAAGCTGGAGCTGCTCTAGCAGGGGAAGGTGTCTGCCAGATGCACAGGGCATTTGATACCATGCTAACAAGTCCAAACAGGATCGGGAATGGAGCAAGCTCAGCTCATGGGTGAAGATAGCAGCCAGCCATCCGCCTCTGGCCAGGCCCTTGCTCCCTGGTTGTCTTTCTCGGAGCATTTAGGTACACTGTGACACACAACTCCTCGCTTGCCTCCCCCATTCCCAGATCCCTTGAGAAGACACCCCTGTGCGGGTTGTCCACATGCTGAGGTGACATGGGATAGCTTCCAGGCATGAAGTAGCAGGAGGACACAGAACTGGAGACCTGCTGCCCCGTAAGGACTGCTCTCCTGCTGCAGCCAACAGCCATGACCAGCAGTCCCTCTTATTTGGGACGTCCAGTTGTACCCGTCCCAAAAACAATTGCGTAGATGAGCTGGGCGCTCCAGCTTGTTTAAGCGGTGTAGGTGCTGGCACTTGGCAGTGTGAAGCAATACAGCATCACCCTTTCCCCACATAGCTCCTGGCAGGGCAAATCCAACATGTGCCTGGAAAGATGTTGGCTCTGGGAGGATGTGGAAGAAACGTGATGGGGAGGGAGTCATTGCACAAGGTTCCTGGGGGCGGGATGTGAAAGAGAAGAGCGAGCTTGTGGTGGTTATGAAAAGGTGAATAGGGTGGGAACCAAGAAGAGAAGGATGGAGACAAAGAAGGAGATGAAGAGCTGTGGAGGGAAGCAGAGGTTAAATCACAGAGGACCTGGAAGGAGTTAAAGGTGACATGGAGATGCACTGGGGCAGTGCAAGCAGGAGGTGACTACAGAGGTCCGAGTGAGGCAAGGGAGAGGAAGACACTGAGAGAGGGCAGGGTCGTTTTGGCATTATTGGTTGGGAATCCCCTGCTAATGCTCTACCGTCTGTGTTTTGTCCTAGGGCACTAAATGAGAATATGGCCAATGGCATTGAAGATCTTATCGGGATCCCATTCCCGAACCACAGCAGTGAAGTCTTATGTGGTTTAAATGAGCAGCGGCATGACGGCCTCCTCTGCGATGTCATCCTCATTGTACAGGACCAGGAGTACCGGACCCATCGGTCCGTCCTTGCTGCCTGCAGCAAGTACTTCAAAAAACTCTTCACTACCGGCACTTTAACAGACCAGCCCTATGTTTACGAGATTGACTTTGTCAAGCCTGAAGCACTTTCCGCCATCCTCGAGTTTGCCTACACCTCAACCCTCACCATCACCACCTCAAATGTCAAGCACATCCTCAGCGCTGCCAAGATGCTGGAGATCCAGTGCATTATCAATGTATGCCTTGAAATCATGGAGCCCGACAGAGAGGCAGAAGAGGAAGATGACAAAGAGGACGAAGATGACGATGAAGATGAAGACGAAGAGGAGGAAGAGGAGGAGGAGGAGGAAGTGGAAGATTTTGTCAATCAGGAGAACCTAACCGATGTCCAAGAAGTAAGCTGTCACCAAAGCCCTTCTAAGTCTGATCTTACCGAAGAAGCATATACAGAAGCACCTAAAGACTTTCCAAATCACTACCCAGCCAATAACTCCTCTGGACACTTGGGTGTGATACGAGACTTCTCCATCGAGTCCTTGCTAAGGGAAAACTTGTACCCTAAGGCGAACATCCCAGAAAGGAGGCCAGCTCTCTCTCCTTTCGCCCCTAGCTTCTTCCCCCATCTATGGAACGGTGATTTTAGCTCCTTCTCCCAGCTCGAGGAGCCACAAGTAGACAACGGCCCCTTGGATCTGGTGATCAAAAAGAGGAAGATCAAGGAAGAGGAGGAGAAGGAAGACCTGCCTCCGCCTCCTTTCCCTAATGACTTCTTCAAGGACATGTTTACCAACACCCCAGCAGCTCCCTTAGGGCACATTAAGGCAGAGACTGACTATAGCGCTTATCTCAATTTCCTAAGCGCTACCCAGTTTGGAGGAGTTTTTCCCCCATGGCCCCTGGAGGAAGAGAGGAAGATAAAGCCCAAGGCGTCCCAGCAATGTCCCATCTGTAACAAAGTCATCATGGGGGCCGGGAAGCTGCCCAGGCACATGAGGACCCACACGGGAGAGAAGCCGTATATGTGCAATATCTGTGAAGTCCGCTTTACCAGGTGTGCATTGGTTACCTCTGCCGTGCGTAGCCGTGCGCGGGGGGTGGTGGTTGAAGGGGCCACGTCATGACCCGTGGCTGATTCCGAAGCTACACATCTCTTTTTCCCCCCAAAAAGTAGCAAAGAAAGCAGGGCATGATCTCTATCCCTTCAGGAAAAAAAAGAAGGAAGGGAGGGTGGAGGAAGAAAACGAACCTACTGATTTTGGTGGGTTGCGGATCCCATCCACAGCTCACGGGATCCATCTGCTCGCTGGACAAAAGCTTAAATAAGTAACAGGATATTTTCAACCCCACCATAGTTCACCACAGTTAGACCAGAGGGAGCTGGAAAACAGATGGTGAAACAGCCAAGGAGGCTTCATCTCTAATGTGCTGGGAGATGCGTTGAGTTGGGAGGGTCATCTAGCTGCGGGATGTAATTAGTTTGGGTTTGCACATTTTGGCATCAGTGTAGACCACAACCAAGTTGCACATGTTTAGACATGACAGTGTCTGGGTTTTCTGAGGCTGGAGCCGTCCTAATTATTATACGTTAGTAGCGAGGTGGGTGTCGGTCTCTTCTCCCAAGTAACAAGCGATAGGACGGGAGGAAACAGCCTCACGTTGTGCCAGGGGAGGTTTAGATTGGATATTAGGGAAAATTTCTTCACCGAAAGGGTTGTCGAGCATTGGAACAGGCTGCCCAGGGAAGTGGTGGAGTCACCACCCCTGGAGGTGTTTAAAAGACGGGTAGACGTGGCGCTCAGGGACATGGTTTAGTGGTGGACTTGGCAGTGCTGGGTTAACAGTTGGACTCGGTGATCTTAAAGGTCTTTTCCAACCTAAATGATTCTATGATTCTATGACTTATCACCCCGAACGTTGGCCGTCCAAGAGCCAGGCACCTCGACTCCCTCCGTGGTCAGTGGAAAGTGATCAGCACCCTCAGAGAGGTAGATGAGGAAAGGGGATGAGCAGGGGTCATCCCTGACCACAAAGACAACCTGCGGGGCTTAGATTGGGGCACCTAACTTTTAGGTATCTCCAGTCAGGTCAGACCAGCCCCAACACGGGCTGCTCCAAGGCAGGCGTGACCGGTACCAGGTCCATCCCTGGTACCAATTCCCAGCCTTTGCACCTCTCTTCACCTCAGCGGACCCCTCGATGGTAACAAATCGGAGCAGGCTACACAAATCTAATGCTACAGCTCGCAATCCTGCTCTGAGAAGCTGGGCAAATTTAGTCGGTGAGCAGAGACAAATAGATTCCTGGACCTGCTCTTGCTGGGTGTAATTAATATCTAATGAGTACAATCTTTACCATAATAATAAAGCTTTCTGACAAGAGCATGGTATTTCAGCTCCCGGCTGCGTGTGAGAGAGCGAGCCCTATTAGGCTGGGGTGAGCACACCGGAGGAAAATAATATGCACAGTAGGCAAAGGCGAGCTCCTGACAATGGCCGGACACCTGGGGTGCTCCCGCATTCAGCCTGTCTTTTCTTCTCCCGTCCCTGTGATAATATTCGAGTGGAAGTTATGCAGATGATGAGGATTTGACCTGAAAATAAATTTCCATGCTCCGCTCCATTAACGCAGCAGACACCGTATTATAATGCGGGGAGCATCGTGCCTCGGGCGGGCGTACGCAACGTGAGCCGGCTCACCCTGGTATTTGCAGGGGAAAGGCCACTGCCTGGTGCTAATTCCTGCCTGCAGGAATTTGCCTGCAGGAATTTGGATCCGGCTCCCGCTGGTGCTGCATCCTCAGGTTAGCGCTGGGTCGTCACCTCCGGACAGGGTGGCTCTGCTGGGAGGAGCGGGATGGGTTCAGCCCGGTGAGTGTGGCTGCGTCCCGGGCTGGAGGCACCACCTGGCCAGCCCCCATCCTGCGCTCCCCGTCGCTCTCCTGGGTGTGATGCTGCGGGTGCTAATTGCTGACGAGGAAATAGCTTGGCTTGACCCATCACCGACACCTTCCCCGTGATGGGAATAACAGAGCTGAGCCCTCCCAGAGGGCTCCCAAAGTCCTTTGCAAGCACGGGCAGCATCGTCGGCTTCGCTTGGGGAAACTGAGGCACGGAGAGATGTTGGCATCGACTCGCAGTCACTGCGAAGGTTGGTAGGAGGGTTCAGGTGGGAATTCAGGTATCCTGACCCCTAATCCAGACAGGTTAAATCAGCATCTTGGAGGTTAAAAGCTCCAAGCAGAGACGGTCTAGTGTGGCCCATTACTAACGCAGGGTTAAACCCGACGGCTTCTACATCCCCCCAGAGCTCAACAGCTTCTAAATACAAAGCAGAGGGGTGGGAGGACTTTAGCCCAGGAGAACAATCACAAAGAGAATTGGGACGAACCCAACGGTGCAGTCTCCCATCATCACTCACGAAAACGAAGCCATTCGTTTGGGTCACCCCGCGCAGAGCTGAAGGCTGGAGGGATTTTTCCCTCTTTAACACCCCGAGCAAAGTGGAAATTTCAAAACATGGGTTGATTTTTAAATGTATTTGGAAGTATTTTGAATAGCACGCAGCCGTTTTGTTTTGTTTGGGGGGTTTTTTTTAGCCATTTTCAGCATTACTCTAATGTGAGAGCTCTCCTTTAGGGGAAAGTGTATTTAAGCAAAGTGGAGTGATTGAGATGTCGAAAGAGATTTCTGCCAGGATTTCCTGAACGCTGCCACTTGCGTTACGTGTTTTGCTCTCGGGGGGGAATCTCATGCTTCCCGAAAGCATCGGACTCGCACCCACGGCAGTGAGCGGTGCCTTCGCCACGGAGATGCAAGCCCAGGCAGTCCCCCTTGGGCTCCCCTGGGAGTGAGGGTGCAGGGAAGCAGAGGTTCCCAAATGGGATTTCGGAATGAGTCAGTCCTTTGCGTTATTTCTGCGCTCAAGGAACGGTGGAGGAGTAAATTTACTGGGGGGAAATAGAAAAAAATATATTTTCCTGGTGGGGAGTCCCCCAGCCTCCCCATCAGATCCCTTCCCCTTCGCATCCCGGGGCAAGGACCCCACATGCACCTGGATCTGCCACGGCCGACTCCCAGGGACATCTGATCGCAGGAAGCAGGACTTCATTTAATAGCTCATTAATTTTTTCCTTAAACAAAGGCTGCTCAGCTTCTAGTCTGCTGTATTACCCTGCTAAAACACTGGAGAAAACTGCAAATATTTCAGCTTTTCCACCAAGACAACCCCGGAGTGCTCAAGGAGAAACTGTTCCAGCCAGAAAGGTTAACATTATTTGTTCCTATTATTTGTGTTGTGACAGCTCGCAGAGCCCTAATCGCTCTCCTAATGCAATTGCATTAAGGTTATTCACACACACGGAGCGCGGTTCTCCTTCGGAGAGCCTGCGAGCTGAGCTCCCACCTCGCAAAACCTGTGTTTCCTCCCCTGGGAG